TTTTTTTTTTTTTTTTTTTTTTTTTTTTTTTTTTTTTTTTTTTTTTTTTTTTTTTTTTTTTTTTTTTTTTTTTTTTTTTTTTTTTTTTTGCGGACTGTACCTACTCCAAGTAAAATAATTCATGGCAGTCAACAATTTTTGAATAGGTGAGATCATTGAAGTAATTGCATCATCATTTGCTAAGATAATTTTTTTGTTACTTAGATCGAAATTGCCGTTGAAACATTTTTCTTGTAGGAATTCAAAGAAAAGGTAAGTTTACTATGGGTAAGAAATATGATAATGACGCTGGAAAACAAAAGGCAAAAACTGCCGAAATTTCTAATTAGTTTATGAATAATAACAAAGTTCAACTATTATTAAAAGTGACTACTTACGATGAAGATGTTTAAAATATGTAGATTTTCATATTCAGGCTGATATGAAATTGACCATAAATTACATCTCGTTTAAGATAGAGTTTATATATTTATATACGTCAATTGTTAATGCTGCATATTTTTTGTTGTTGTTTCTAATGCCACTTGCCACAAGGGCAAGCCTGTTTAGTGAAACCGCCGGTGGGGTTTGAACCCACGAACTCTCGGACATGGGCTCAGTGCCCTACCGACGTTTACAGGGCGGATCCATTGGTACATCCATTCATTCATCCTCAGATCGTAATTTTGACCTGAATCAGAGAACGATCGATCTCCAATCCAGTACCTCCAGAGGTACTGATTTGTTATGGGAACATGGCGGACTTTTGCGACAGATTTAATAATGACACCTTTTCAAAAAATTAAATTTGGTAATGACCAAATTCCATTTGGTAATAATTGAATTTGGTTTCAAGTGAAGGAACTAGTGTTGTTCAAAAATTTCTCAACCTGAAACTAGAAGAAAAATAACCTGAGTGAATATGTCACAGTGTTAATAAAAAATATTTTTTGAAATGGTGCGTTTACGCATCTTCGGTCGAAAATGGGTTAAAACGCGTTTTTACTGAACATTTTGAATTCTAATGCTTCTTAACGATGTGATGTTTCCCATTTATTTGTTATTGTTAGAGTAGATAACAAATACTCAATAAATACTACAAGAAATATTGTTTTTTCATTTATAACAATTTATTATAAATATTTACATAAAGCTAAGAAATGAACCAGAATGTTAGTAATCATCAAATCTCGATTGTTTTGAGCACTTAGATTGTTTTGAGCATAATAAATAAATACAAAAAACACGAAGAAAATTTAAAAAAAAACAGTAAGTTTTATTTATTGCGTATAAGCTGCAGAAATAGAACTCATAAAATAAGTTCAAAATGTAGATAAAACAAGGGGAAAATTACAGAACAACGAAAAAAGGAGAAAAAAGAAAAATAATAAATTTTTTTTTCTTGAAAAGCAATGCTTCACTTTTCTGGATAGCAATGTCAGATGCGTAAATAGATTTAAGTCAAATATTGCGTTTAGTATACACGAAACCTTTATAACTGTTAAACTATTAAATCAGTTAATTTGGTTTTCTTTTCATTCGAATTAGCGTAACAGAACTGCAAACAGTTAAGCTTTTTTTCAAAACATTTCATAGAGTGCTAAACAATTCTAAAAAAACTAAAGGTTTCAGAATTTTCGGTAATTTCGCTAACATTTTAAAAGCCCTATCACGAAAGAGCTGGGACAAAATAGTGCTTCATTTGAACCATTTACATGAAGTGGTGAAGCAAATAAGTTCAAATTATATTTACAAAACAAAGAATCATTCATTAAAACATAAACTTAGTTACCCCTAAAAGAAATTGCTCCAAAAAGCATAGAAAATCAGCTGCCTTGTATACATAGGTAACAATACTTCACTTGCTTAGATAGCAATGTTATATACGTAAATAGGTACAAGTAAAAAAAAAAAAATTTACTCTTTATACTTAGAACCCAAATAAATTATAAAATATTAGTTCTAGAGATATAGCAATCACATAAGTGTGTTCCCATTTTATCTTTCTAGAAATGGAATATGACTTGTCCCAATATCTTTTTCAAATGCTAACGAAGATAATTATATTTATATCATGCAGTTCCACTAATGTGCAAATTCAGAATTTTTAAATAATAAATAAAGATTTTTAAAAGTACAAAATTAAGGGCACATCATTCAATATTCTAAAACGTCTGTGGTTTTATTTCTCCCTTTTTCCTTTACGAACGAGGTAGAAAAGCGTTGATAATAACAATAATAAACAACAAAAAATGGAAAATCGTTACGAACAACCAGGATCGAACCCTGGCCCTTCTGAACCGTAATCCGATTTCCTGCATCAGACGCTCATTATCAAGATGAACCAAAACGTAAAAGATGAAAACAGATTTAAATCGGTAGCAAATGAAAAATAATAAAGGAGGAAAACTACGGTATCTGAGAAAGCGATGGTAGCCAAAAAACGCAAATCAGGGCAAGATGCATTTTTAAGAGAAATGGGGGATTCATCCTCTTCTTTCTGACAATCTGCGAAGTAGAAAATTTCCTTCATCCCTTCCTATTACAAATTTTATTTGGCTTCCACTTGGGCAGATGTAAATATTATTTGGTTTAACTCATTTTCATTTTAAACGAGTAAGCTTTCAACATAAGTTTTTTTAATTTTACTTTGATCTAATTCAGAATGTTGATCTGAATATTTTAAAAAGTTTTCATTAAATCTAATTATAAAGACAAAACAGCGTCAGAAGTTATTTACGACTCATCCTAATATTAATATTACAACTTTATATAACACTTATAATTATGTATTTTTAAAATAATCATTTTAAACCTCTCAATTTCTTTTGACTTATTTCAATGCTTCGAAAGAATTTTACCAAAATTAAAATATGCCTAGAACCAGAAATTCTTCTCCATTTATAAAAATTATGCCAGGTAACAAAATAATTTTGCGAATTTGTTATCTTTTAGTAACTTGAAAGAAAACAAATATACATATAATAATTTTATGTTTTGTGATAATCCTTGTTCTTATTTTTATGGATTAAAGTAAAATAACATTGGCAGAAAGAGAGCAACTAGTTTTTAAATTTTTTTTCCTTGCTACTTGATATTCGTTCTATTTCCAAATAAAATAATTCAAAAATTTCTATATTCAAAACATTATAATTCTAACTTTTTTTCATGCATATAATTATTATAGGGTGANGAATTTTTTTTCTTCGTAAGCTGTAAAACAAACATAAAATATACTGGGGACATGAAAATGACTGTTTTTGTGAGAATGACCCATATATATGATGAGGGATTTTTATTAATTTTTAGAGAACAAAACTACTGATAACAATCTATATGAGAATTTATTTACACCAAAAACAAAATTTAAATCACTAATCAAATACAATTCTCTTTCCTTTAAATCCACTTTTTGCAGCTTCTTTCAATTTATTTTTTGCTTCCCACGATGGATGCAGATTAACATTTTTCTCACCTGTAAGAAAAACAACAGAATGAAAATAAATTTATCGAAAACATAAACCAGACTTTTACAAATTTTTATTTTCTCTAAAAAACTTATATTTATTATATATAAATTAAAAATGTCACACATAGTGTGAAAATTTTTAGTTGCAAAATAAAAATTGGTTCATATGAATAACTACAAAATTTCATAACATTTTCTTCAGTAGTTTTCCAGTAATAAGCCTACAAACTTAATATTTTATGATCACCCAACAGCTATTCTTTGAAGAAACAACAATGTTGAGCTTACAAGATTATACCAATAACTAACACAAACCAATAACAAAGAGTGCAAAATCACAATTATGCTGAGCTTATTAGATTAACATAACATAACGAATTCACAATAACATTTAAGTTTAACATAATTGTACTCTTAAGAAATACTAACACAAATCCATAACAAGATGGTTGAAGAGAGAGCGATTTTTTCAGCAAGATAATTTATCTTAAGAATGAGTAACAACATCAAACGATTCTTACAAAGCAATTCATTCAAATGATTCTTAACTTTTCTTACTGAAAATTACTTCTATTTGAAGCCTAGGGGGCAAAGCCCCCTGTTTGCTGATGCTCACCAACCCCGATGATTGCAATAATCGCTGTTTCTTAGCACAGAACAGTTGACATTATTCAACTAAAAATATATGTTCTGAAAAGAACACTTGTGCCTCCATTTCCCACGTCAAAATATTTCCCTTATGATATTTCTAAAATTTATTAATGGACATAAATCATTTTATAACATTTAAAATGAAAAGTATATTATTATAACAAATTAGTTGAGTTCGCAACTGTAATTTAATAATTTTGCTTACCAAACGAGCCGATGTATTTTAAATACAATTTTCGCATTCATCGCTTTGCGCGAAGCTGAAAGTTACGATCAAAATCATTGAACGAATCTCTTATGTGCAAAGTATTATTAGGTAATTCGCACCAAAATAATAATAATTGTAAAACAGTTCATAAAATCAGACACCAATTTAAATTACTTTATTTTAAAATGTAACGTAGAATTGCATTCAGTGTATCTGCTACATTTTAGATCTTCAAATTCATGACTTAACGAAGTTACTATTTTCTACGACAAAAACACAACAATTTAAAAAGCATTATAATAACATTCACTGAAATGATAGGTATTACCAAAATTGTTATACTCTGCATCTTCATAGATTTTAAATTTAAGAAACAGAGTAAAGAAAGAGTTAAAGCAATAAAATAGCTGAAAAAAATACAAAAGCAAATAATTTTCTTTCTTCTTTTTTCCTACAGAATTACATTCTAAAGATACTTTTCTTATTCATCGGAAAGGAAAGAAACACTCCTGATTTTCCTGTTCTCATTTCGGAATAAAAAAATTCGCCAATGACTGGCTTGCTTCAGCTAAAATTTTAAATTGATAAAATAAAAAATATCAAAAATTCTGAAATCACAGAAGCTTAAAAGATAATTAGCTCTAGAAATTATGTTTTTTCTTTCATTTTTTGAAAGGAACACTATAATTTTTAAAGAACACGATAAAAACATTTTATATTTTAATCAAATATGACTGTGAGTGGGGATTTTATTACAAATTCAGATATTCCGAACACCATAAAATTGGAGGAGGAGGTGAATTCCATTTCAAAAACTAGATTTTTCGGTAACCTAAATCCATGACTCTTCACGATTTTTTTTAAAAAAAAATAGTTAAATCCATGAAAAATTTTGTTCAATACCGAAATTCATGACTTTCCAGGAGTGCGGATACCCTATGCATTATTCTAATAATAATAATAATAATAAAAACGATCCTCCTAAATTCTTAATTTAGAAATTAAACAAAATCAAAAGCTTAATAGCAGTACAGATAATTTTAACCTTTAAATTAGGGAAACAAAATTACTTAAAGGCAAACAATAACTTTATGACTAATATCAATTTGCTGATGACAACCAAATCAATATTAAAATGAATGTGAGAAAACTGGATCCTACCCTGTGATTTTCCAACCAATAAAAATGCATTGACAATAATGGAAAACTGAACAACAATGACAACATTATTAAATTTTTATATATAGTGAGATTTGACAGAACAAGCCAATATTCTACACTTAAGAGTGAACTTTAACATGTTTGCAAACCTGGTAAAAAGAATGCCTGGATACCTGGGTAAAGAAACCTGGTTTGCAAACTTTAAGTCTTAAAAATTAAGTTTTTAAATTTGATGGTTAATAGAAAATTGAAAGTTTTATTATGATGCTTACCTTTTTCATTTGATTGTTTCTTTGATTGAAAACTATTACTCATTGTGCTATTCTTATTCTCTCTGTAAAACAAAAACATTTTGACAGTTAGAATTTTAAATAATTGAAAATAGTAAAAAAGAAAAAAAAAACTTTTATAATAATGCTGTGAAAATGTTAGGTTGAATAAAGACCAAAATGATTTATCTTTAACTAAGTTTTTACGTAAAATAGTAAACACTTTCAATTATATTCTTTTAGTTAAAAAAAAAAAAAAAAAACATGAACTAGGGTGACCTGGGGTAATTCCTGATCAAAAAATGCAAACATCTATTTTGTAAGAAAACTATTCAAGATAGAATTATAATATTTACTGGAAGTTTGAGGCTATATGAGATGAGTCCTAGGCTACCTTGTTTTGTTTGAAAATCTAATTAGAATTTAAAATATTTTAAATTTTTAGTGATCAGGAATTACCCCTGGTCTTGATCATTTCTGGGGTAATTCCTGATCACTTCTGGGGTAATTACTGATCACCAGTTTTTATTGTAAAGGGGCTGTTTAAAAATAATTATATAATGGTAATTAACAAATAAGACATCAAGATCAAACAAATAAACCAAAAAGATATGTTTAAGCAGCTAATAAAATGATTTATTTAAAAGCAAGAAGAACGATTAACACTTTAAATTTTCAAAAATCTTTGCATCGTGCCATACATTTTAGGCAATCAGCCAACTCATTCTCATGTTCTTCTGAAATATAAGAGAGTTCCCACATGGGTTACTTTTGCTGGATTTTTTAACTTCATTAAGGGAAAGTGTAAAGTTAAGTAAGGTAACTCAACAGCTCTGGCAGCAGCTCTCACACTGAAATTTTCATTTTCAATCATTAAAAGAAATTCACTAATTTTGCTTTCTAGAAGCTTAGTATCCTTTTTAGGCTTATAATTTCTCACCATATTTATATTAGGCTAATTTATAAACTTAAAAATTATTCTAACAATGTACACACATAAAATTAAGATAGAAGCAAGGTAAGACAAATTGGAACACATTTGTCTAGCATACGGTTAAAAACAAATTTTGTGATTAAATTGAGTTAAAATATATTTTATAGTTTCATTTGAAAAATATGAACTGTTACTTAAGAAAAGACAATTAGCTATTTATTAGTTTATTTTAATACTATTTATGAAAAGAAATGACAATGATCAGGAATTACCCCAGTGATCAATAATTACCCCATCTGTAGGGGGCAACATTTGATATAGTTTCCTATAATCAATTATAATGTTTACAGTAGATGTGAAACAATTAAACAAGAGCTTACACTATTTTCATATCAAAGAAAAAGAAAGTAACTCAAAATATTTATTATTAAGAGAAGGAGGGAGATCTTTGCAGAAATGTACACTTTTTGAAACCCATCTTTGAAATGGAAAATACAGAAAGCAGTTTAAAGATACTTATTTTGTTAGATTAAACAAGAAACTATTATTAAGTAAATGTAGTTATACCTTAGTAAAGTGTACAAGCATTCTTGTCCATGTCTCAAATTTAGAAAAAAATTATTTTTTTAAAATAAAACTTAGGTGATCATTATTTACCCCAGAAACAGACTGATCGTGAATTACCCCGGGTCACCCTAATTGTTTTTTTTAACTATTTTGAAAAATTCTTACAGAAGAAGCAAAAAAAAAAAAAAAAATTCGTATAAAAAATATTTTTAAAATCTTAAGTAACAGCTAAGTTGAGTAAAACATTGATTTCATAAAAAATAATAAAAAAAATCAGTTGCGTTCTTAATTTTAGGCATGATGATTTCTTTATTTTAGGTTAGTTGCTTTCTTAATTTTAGTAATGATATACTAAAACCAAAAGAATAAGGCAAATTCCATTAGTCTAATAAGGAATCCACTAGAATTATAGGCTGTGTGATAACAAAAAATAAATAAAATTAATAATAATTAAATGACTACAAATGGTCTGAAAAATACATTAAATAAAAGGTATAAAAGATTACTAACCTTCCATGATTGAATGAGTCATCTTGAGGATTTCTTCTAGATTTGTTATCAAATTTTTTGATATTTTTCAGCTGGAAATCCCCTTTTATATTTTTCTGAAATCTCTTTTCTTTGCGATTAAAACATTCTTCTTTTTTATTTTGAAATTTATTTTCATTTCGATTAAAATCTTTTCCTTTACCTTGAAATCTATTTTCATTTCTATTAAAATCTTCTCCCTTATTTTGAAATCTATTTTCATTTCTATTAAAATCTTTCCTTTTTTTATTTTGAAATCGATTTTCATTTCCACTAAAATCTTTATCTTTAAAACTGTTGAAAGATTTACGAGGCTTATCAGTAATATTATTTCTCTTAAATTCGCCACCTCTCGCACTTTTATCGAAATCGGAGAATTTACGTTTAGTTTGGGAGTGCCTATAACTGTTTGCATTTGATTTATCATCATCACTACTCTCAACCTCCTTGTCTCCATTCAGAAAAAATGAATCCTTTTTTGGCACAGCAGTTTGCGGAGTGTCAAGCTCTTCAGAATGGGTGGGAGAACTTTGAACAGGAATTAGCTCAGAATCTTGCAGTTCATTTAAGTCAAGAACTTTGATAGCTTTTGTATTCCGAGTATTTGATTTATTTTTAGGCTTCAGTTTTCTGGCATCTCTATTAGCGAGTGCAGCCAGTCTTTCAAATATTGAAGGTTGGGTGTTGGTGGCTGAGCCTTCAGTTGATTCTACTTTAGAAGAAATACTATCTTTAATATTATTCTTGCATGAATCTCTACTCTCTTCTTCATTTGAAGATTTAACATTACTTGGGGAATCTTTAGTTTCATTACGTGCACAGTTCTTACTTATTGTCTTTTTAGATGCAGAGTGTTTTTTACTTTTGGCAGCATTTTCAAAAAATTCTTCTGAATCACCAACACTAGAATTATTAGATGATTCTGAATTAAACTGATCATCATCCTTTAAATCGTCTTCCATTAAATCAGAGATTTCATCCTCATTTTCTTCATCCACATCACTTTCTATTACATTAGAATTTTCTGAAGGCATTCCTTTAGGATCTGATGTCTTAGCACTTTTGTGACATGTGTTCTTATTAATTGTTTGCTTTTTAGACACTAAGTTTTTTTTGCTTTCAGCAGATTTTGTGAAAAATTCTTCCATCCCTTCGTCACTGCCACTGGCATTATTCGACGATTCTGAGTTCAGCTGATCCTTATCATTGGTACCATATTCCATAAGTTCTGGATTTTCGTTTGGGTTTTTTTCATTTGCGTCCATATCTTCTACATTAGAATTTTGTGAAAACTTTCTCTTCTTAAGATTTGGTGAGCTAAGACTTTTGTCTACTGCGACATTGTTTGGGAAAGTAGCGCCTTTAAAGTTGCTCCTTTTCTTCTTTGCAATTTTTTCCAACTTCTGTCTCTTTATGTCAGACGCCTTCTTTTTCTTGTCGGGAGATTTGGGCATTTGACTCTTTATTTCCCATTCCAAAAGAAGAGTTGGAATTTTCTCCACTAAATGACACTCTTTAGCACGAAACTTTTCAACTTCTTTTTGAATCTCACTGTCATTAGCTAATAAGGCCAGACACTGATCTTCCAGAGGGATATTTTTCTGTACAATAAAAAAAAAAAATAATAATAACATATTTTTATTAAACTAAAACTTAGTCAATGATCTGAAGAACCAGTCACTGAAAGATTTTATTAGCCCATAGAAATTTTCATTGTTAAGATTCCTTCTTGATTTAAAAAAAAAAAAATTATGAAGTAAATTATAGCAAACAAATAAAATGTTTAAACTTCTATACCTCTACAAAAAAATAAAATCATTAAAAAAATGAAAGTTTATTAAAATTGAAATTTATCAGTATGTTTCAATAAATAGTTTAAAAGTTACATATTTACCAAAATTAGATTATAAAATTAAAAAAAAAATTATCAAAATGAAATTGAATGAAAAATTAACAGAAAAAGTGTGATTTTCACAGCTGTAAATGATGCCATTTTTGTAGCAGAAACACAAGTCAGAGTACGATAAATTTTACACTTGATTGATGGTGATCCATTACTGATCTACTCATAATAATTTCACGATTGTCCGAGTTGGATTTTAGTTGAACCCAGAACAACTGTTCCCTTTAAATTTTAAAGTCCCCGATTGAATTGTTAAGTTTAGTGGAAGAACAAAATAAATAAATTTGTTAAAATAAGCTTTAACTTAGACAGAGCAATGCATTTTATTATTTTCCTTATTGAATACTTTTTTAAAGGATCTTTCAACAAATGAAATAATAAATAAATAACATTCTAGTATCATAACAGTTGTTGGTAACTATTTTTTTAAGGTTAGAAATTTTGCTGGTACCCACTATATAGAAAGTGAAAATAGAGTTGAATTTTAATACAAAGAGAANCATTGAGCTAAAACTGGATTTTCAAGAGAAATGTTACTTCAATTTATATAATTAGAATATTATACTCAATTACAAATGAAATAATAAATAAATAACATTCTAGTATCATAACAGTTGTTGGTAACTATTTTTTTAAGGTTAGAAATTTCGCTAGTACCCACTATATAGAAAGTGAAAATAGAGTTGAATTTTAATACGAAGAGAAAATCTGTAGTTTCTTATTTTTATTTATTTATTAATTTTTTTTTCTTTAAGTGTTTGCACATTAATATTTATTATTTGAAAAGTGACTTCAATATTGTCTGAGCTTATGGAAATATGCAAAATTTGAAAATTATTCATTAATATTAAGTGTGTGAAAAACTGCTAATTATGTTGAATTTTTTAAAGATTCAACAATGTTTCAACTATTTGTTCCTTTAAAAAAATCAAACCACAATTATGCAATTAACATTTTATTTTGATTTTCAGGAGCACAAACTGTTGCTTGGTTTTTCTTGGAGAAAAAAAGAAAAAGCTTTAAATGCAAATTAATGTTATAGACTTAAAGCTGTACAACATATCCTTAAATATGAAAGCTTGAATGTTTTTGAATTGTCACTCAACAGTTTTTAAACAAAGCTAAATTATAATTAGTTTGTTTAATGGCCTTATAAAAAAAAAAAAAAAAAAAAAAAAAAAAAAACAGATATCAAAATAATTTAGAAAACATTTGTCTCAGCATTATAAAAGTAAATGATTGAATAAAGAAAAACATTTCTACAAAAAATAAAGCATTAAATTTAAAAAAAAATTAAATCTCTAGGTAAGTAAATCTTGACAGCAAATCAACAAGTTTTGTAAATAATCCTTTTAAATCAAACCATTTTACAAACAGTATCTTCAATTACAAGTTAAGACTAATAAAATCCCTCCCTAATTATTTCAAATTTAACACTCCTTTTTTTTTAAATTTATCATTTCTTAATTAGCTTCCAAGGGTCTATTGAGTTGAAATTCAGGTCTAATAATGGATTCTATAAAAACTACTATACTGTGAAAATGATTCCTTCACAAAATTAGGGCTGGATTAAAGTGGGCTATTGGGGCCCAGATTTTTGAAGGTCCCTACCAGGGGCCAACATTGTAAGCTGATCTTAAATATTTGTAGAAATGCCCACATTTTTATAAAAAATAAATTTTTTTGCCTCACATTTTTTTTATAGGTACTATAACTGCGAAACTATTCAATAAAATTAAACAAAATATTTAATGTAATTTTTAATGTAACAAAAATAGTATTTTTAAACTTAGCTTGAAAAAATTTGCAAAAAATTGAGCAGCAGCTGAACATTTAAAATAATCTTTTCATACTGTGCAAGCGCAGAAATTTGTTTGAGCAAAACTTCCCATAATTTTACAGGGAGTCATATTGGGTAACTAATGAAAAAAATTAAATTTGAATGCCTTGAAAATTTAAAAAGTTTCAAGCAAAGAAAATTAAGCACTTCTTACAAATACCCTACAAAATAAGCACCTTTAAGAGCTTTTAAAAAAGGAGGATTAAAAATAAGCATGTTTTAAAAATGCTAGGCACCCTGTATATAAATCGTAAACATTTTAGCAAGGAAAAATGTTTCTGTTTGTTCTCTATTCTTAGATTGTAGCACAACATATAACTTTTTTCTCTACATTTACCCTAGCAATAATTTTACATTGGCCCCAGTTGGGTTCAAATTTGGCGCAACATGGGTCCTATAAGAACATACACCAGAAAACGAATATTAAGACGTCAATATTTTGTAATACTGTTCCGAGAATGACCATATAGGGTCCACATTGACCAACATAAAATCTATTTTGGCTAAATAATGGATATAAAATATCGGATGCATCTGACAATTTTATATTGGACTGATATTGTTCGTAAAGTGACATATCGGGTGAATCGGACAATTCAATACAAGTTCAATATCGGAAAAATAATGGCCCTTATTGAGCCAAGATTCATGAATATTCGTCCAATAAGGGCCAAAGTTATTTTGCTACTAANATTAAACCGAGGAGGATCTATTTGGAACAGATCTCTCCAAATCCTCGCTTATGCGGACGACATTGATATCATTGGAAGATCAGAACGGGCTGTTAAAGATGCCTTTCAAGCCCTTGAGGCCTCTGCTATAAATATGGGCCTTTCCATTAACGAAGACAAGACCAAATTCATGGAGTTTTCAAGCTCAACTGTAAACTATAGTGAACCTTTGCAGATAAACGAACATTCCTTTGAAAAGGTTAAAGAATTTAAGTATCTTGGTACAATTATCAAAGACCAAAACAAACTGAAATCTGAAATTGACAATAGAATCAATATGGCCAACAAATGTTTTTTTTGGACTAAAAAGTCAACTAAGATCGAATTTATTAGCCGAAAAACAGAACTAAAATTATATAAGACACTCATTCTGCCTGTCTTGCTATACGGAAACGAAACCTGGACTTTAAACCTTGACGTCCAACGCCCGATAGAAACGTTTGAAAGAAAGNACTGAAACCTGAAATTGACAATAGAATCAATATGGCCAACAGATGTTTTTTTGGACTAAAAAGTCAACTAAGATCGAATTTTATTAGCCAAAAAACAAAACTAAAATTATATAAGACACTCATTCTGCCTGTCTTGCTATACGGAAACGAAACCTGGACTTTAAACCTTGACGTCCAACGCCCGATAGAAATGTTTGAAAGAAAGATACTTAGAACTATCTTTGGTGCCGTACCAGAGGGGGGATGTTGGCGAACACGGTACAACTTTGAACTTTATGGGCTCTATAAACATCCTCAAATTATGCAGATAATCCGAAGCAACCGACTAAGATGGCTCAGCCATATCTGGAGAGGCTCTGAAGATAGCCCTGTAAAAATTGCCACCTTCAAGAACCCTCAGGGGTCCCGCTCTAGAGATAGACCATCTACTCGATGGATCAACGACACCGAAAATGACCTCAAAGTCCTAAAACTTAAGAACTGGAGGGGAGTTGCCATGGACAGAGGGAGCTGAAGAAGGCGTGCTGTTGAGGCAGCCAAGGCCTGCAAAGGGCTGTTGCGCTCCTGAATAAGAAGAAGATGGGTCCTATAAGAACATACACCAGAAAACGAATATTGGGACGTCAATATTTTGTAATACTGTTCCGAGAATGACCATATAGGGCCCACATTGATCAACATAAAACCTATTTTGGCTAAATAATGGATATAAAATATCGGATGCATCTGACAATTTTTTATCGGACTGATATTGTTCGTAAAGTGACATATCGGGTGAATCGGACAATTCAATACAGTTTCAATATCGGAAAAATAATGGCCCTTATTGAGCCAAGATTCATGAATATTCGTCCAATAAGGGCCAAACTTATTTTGCTACTAAGTAGTTTTATCACAATAACTATTTAAATAACTTCATACACAACTACTGTTCATAAGCAATTAAAGCTTAAGTATTATAAATAATGTTTTAAAATAATTTAGAAGGGATAAAGTGGTCAAAGCGTTAATGTGACACACATTGAGCTAAAACTGGATTTTCAAGAGAAATGTTACTTCAATTTATATAATTAGAATATTATACTCAATTAAAGATATGCTACTTTTAAGCAAATAGAGCTGATCAGACATACATTGCCATTTAGACAATCTTTCTCAATTTTAATGTATACAAAAATTCTTATATTTACATATAACAGCAGAACTTTCTAAACTTAAATTGTTTTTAAAATTAAGTATTGAACTAAAATTAGAAAACAAGATTCTGTTTCAAACCAGAGAAAAAACACAGTTTTCTTGAAATTAAAAATTGCTTGAAGAAAATATATTGAATTTTTTCACTATATTTTAATTTTAAAATTTATAATGAAACAAATCACTAAATTTTAGGTACTTTAAGTTATTTATAATTTAGAAGTTATTTGAAAAGCATTATTAGTATTATTATAATTTATTATTTTTTTTTTTTGAAAAAGAATAGTAATTTAAAATTTGAATATAAGCTGAAGAAATACTAAAAATAAAGAAGAAAACACAGGATCTGGAAATTAGATTGGCTTACATTAAAATTGTATACTAAAAAAATTTTTTTTGGCTGCAAAAAATAACTAATCTAGGTCCATTTTTCACAATCACATTACACTATTCACAATTTTTTTTAAAAATTGCCTAAATGGTATTTAAAATGTTTTAAGTTAGGGGTGCACAACCTGTGGCCCACCGACTGTTGATATGTGGCTTGTGGGAACTTCTGAACACAACAAAAAAGAATTCTTTTAATTTAGTTTTTGATTAAACATAATAAATTTTCTTAAATTAAAATATTCAATTCAAATTTATATTACTCCAGAATGCATATGTTTTTGGCACTTTCATTCTGTAAGCTTTTTTTTTTTGGTTAGAATTTATATCCACTCCCAAGACATATGTATAAATTAATATATTAATATATATTTAATAAATTAATTATTGGGGGAAAAAAAATTGTGTTTTTTAAAAAAGTATAAGTTTTTTTAGTTTTAAATAAATTTAAATAATTAAAAGCATTTAATTTTCTGCAATATGTTATTAAGTTTACTGATAAAATATTTAGTGCTTAGAACACTAATGTTTAGATAAAAATTATCATATTTGCTGCTAACATGACTGCTTTGTTAATCTACCTGCTGTGCAAGTGGCCCTTCACTCAAAAAGGTTGTGCACTAGGCCTGGGCAATATACTGTAATACCATCATTTACCGGTATTTCTTTGATACCGCGGTAATGATATTCGGAAGTATATTCTTCGGTAATACCGAGTTATTGAACTTCGGTATGCCTGCACCTCTCGGTACTCACCGCTAGCCAATATATTCGGCCGACCGGCGGCGAGGAAGTGGCGGTATGGTATGGTATCTAGGAGGTATTGGTATGGCACGTGATTGATTTAGGGGTGAAGAACTCAAAGGCTTGCGCGTAATATTTACGGTACCTCCTCTCGGCAGCTAGAAATTTCTCCTACAATATATTGTGGTATCATTTGACTTTAAAGCGCATGCGTCATATCCGTGGTATTGGCGATATCGGATTTCAAACACCCGCGCGTTATATCAACCCTCCATGGTATACTTAGTTACTGATTTTGGTTTCATTTTGAGAATAGCGTGCTTCTGATTTTAAAAATATCCGAGATTGTCGGATCTCCTTGTGATGTTTATAATTGTGTTGATATTTATAATTGTTGATGTTTATAATTGTGTTGATGTTTATAACTGTTTTGATGTTTATAATTGTGTTGATGTTTATATTAGTAATTGATGTTTATATTAATAAAATTTTTCTGTTTTAAAATAATGATGCTTTATAATTAGTTGATTCCATGGGATAATTATGCTGCGAGCTAATATAGGATAAGTACCCCATTTTTTTTAAATGATGCTCTTTAAACACATTAATTTTTAATTGCAAAATAGTCTTAGCATTTATAATATACATAACAATTTAATTACCGCAGTATATCATAATATCGTGATATGAAGCTCACAATATACCACAATATCGAAATTCTGACATTGCCCAGCCCTATTGTGCACCCCTATTTTAAGTGAAATATATTAAGTGAAGTTACAGCAGAAAAAGTCGAAATTTCAAAAGTGCAAAAGATTCTTTTATGGCTGAACAGCTCCACCCGGCTTTATTTAATAATACCTATTGAAAAAGAATATAATGTTCTTGTTTGTGATCATAAAACTTATTCTGAAAATTGAAATAACACAGACAAATTCAATGTTCATTACCTGGGTTAAAAGAGTATTCCAATTTTGTGCTTTTGATAATGCTTTTTTGCTCACAAAATCAGGCAGCATTTTCTACAAGAATAATAATCAAAAATAAATAAATAATTTCATAAAAAATTAAATAAAATTACAACTAAATGAGACAAATATATATATATATATATACATTGCTTCTAACAGCATTTTGTTACAATACTGGCATTTTGTAACACACACAGAAATAAAATAAAAGATAAATTTTACATATAATATTTATATAGATTAAGTAACATTTACTTAAATAACATTTCAACTATTCAGTCAGATTTTCACACAGTTAGATGCAATCTTAATTGTTCAAAAGAGAGACTTTAAATAGCCTAGTTAATTAATCTTGACTATATGCTAAAATATGAAGTATGATTTTGAATAATTTTTGTTCTGAAAATCAGATTTTCATGAACTAAGAGCCGATGTTAATGGCTCAAAGGGGTGAATTCAAATATGCTAATTAATTAGAGCACACGATATTTTAAATTATGAATTCATGTAAAAAACATACTTTTTCTAAATAAATAGCTATTTTGACAGATGTGGAACCCTGACCCTAAAAATAAGATGGAAAATCGTAACCTTGAAAATATGGTCTGAATAGTTAATTTAGGAAAGTTGTCCTAAGTTTAGGCTCAATAATGTTAATTTTACTTATTGTATTTTTCAAGCCATTTTAGTAAATTTAAAAATTTTGCATACAATAACAAAAATAGTTCACCCCATGATAATTCGATTCAAAAAATTTTTGATCTACTCAACACGAAACTTACTGTTGCAGACATACATATTTCTGGATCATTTTAAAATATGTAATTTAAAATGGCAAAACATAAAATTTGATCAAATTTAATTATTACAATTGCAAATGGTCATTTTTTTTTTAAAATTTGTAACATAATTATAAAAATTTTTTACCCACAGATCAGTCCATTCAAAATATATATTTTTAAGTTTTTGGTCAAAAAACTTTATGTTGCAGACACACAGATTTTGAGATCATTTTAAAGAATGTGATCTCAAATTATAAAACATACAACTCAAACAAACTCAGTCAATACAACTTCAAACAGACACATTTGGAAAATTTTTTTTAATTGAAAATCAAAATTGATTTGACTTGAAAATCATTGACCTGATTCTGTTAAAATTTTGGACTTTGTTACTTAAATGCACATAGTTTACAAGGTTGTACGAATTTTTATACCTTTAAGTAATAGCTGACAACATCAACAAATGTTGCTGATAAAAAATGTCTGGTATATTAATACTAAACCTTATTTTATGAATAAAAACAGAAAATTAAACTCCATAAAAAATATACACACCTTAAGTATTTTAATTTTTTCTAAAAGCCTCTCAACTTTTCTTTGATTTTTTTCAGCTTGGCTATCATTGCCCCTGAAATGACATGTTGACACATATAAATATATAGGCATACATATTTTTTTTTTTAAATGTGAGATTAAAAGGAACATTTATAATTTTTCTTTATTTTAAAAAAAAAAAAATTCTCAATGTTATACCCAAACGCATAATGTTACAGACGTAAGAGAACATTATTTAACTGTTTCATTTACCAATGTACCTACACTGTTTCTTATTATTCAGGTTTTCAAGTGCTGACATGGCAATTATGGTATGGAACTGCAACAGATACTGTTTTCTCTAACTTTTCTATATCTCTTTGCACATTATGTAGTTCAAATATATAGCAAGATTGAAAGAGATAAAAGTTTCAAGTTTAGCCTTAACAGTTTCAAATTAAATATGAAATTAATGATAAAATAAATAAAAATAATTGACGAAGGACTTAGAATGTTTTCTTTTTATTATAGATTTTTGGCATGACTTTTTTAAATAAAAATGTATACTAAATATCCAGTTTATGCTGCCATTTCAAAGGTGTTATAAATAATAATTAAATTTTGAAAAGCTAATCTGATAAATGTAGTGATTAGAATCAACGAGAAATAAACCCAATATTTCTTGGGGAGAAGTAGAAAAGGATAAATGGTCAAAAAAGCAATTTTTTTTCCTTGGGTTTAATTACAAAAAAATTAAAAAAAAAAAACATAGATTTTATTTTTCTTCTTAATTTAAGACCAGAATCTTTTGTAAAACTAATTGCACACATTTAAAAAAAAAAGAAAAAGGTAGTCTGTATAAGTATTCCACATTTGTTCGCACTATAACAGAAAAATCACTTTATTTTTTAATATATACTTTTATAACATGCAATTAAGAAATAAAGATCAGTAGCTTAATCTTACTTTTTGTTTTGCAACTGCTTGAGTTGTTTGGTGAACTTATTGATAGCAAACAATTTGGCACGTTTGACATGTTTCCGCATTTGAACCACCTAAAATAACATTTATCATTTAAAATAAATACATTATTAACTTCATATAAGACATAAGTAAAATTTCCGTTCATTTCAAACTCATCGATATCGAAAACAAAATTTGTAAGACAATAAAAAATATCCCAAGTGTTTATAATGATAACATTATTCTTAATTCAATATTATTTTATTTCAAATAAATAAAACAGATAAAAATTTTAAATGAGGTCTAACTCATCTATATTGAAAACAAAATTTAGAAAATAAATAAGTAACCTGATTGTTGACTTTTATTTTATCCATAGCTTTAAAAAATATTTGAAATAAATCTTTTAAATAAAACTCTAACAATTAAATATACAAATTATAATATAAAAAAAGAAAGATTAGCAGCAAAAGCATGCAAAGCTATTTGTAAAGGCAGTGTCTATTACACCNAAGATCATCCTTTTTTCTTTTTCAAATTCATGAATGGCTATTTGTTATTCTTCATATGAAGAAAATCAAGATGCTACAAAAATTGTAGCTGCCTTGACTACGATAAACAGAGCTAAATTATTTTTGAAAAAAAAATCGGAGAGTCACGTGGACAGATACGCTCTATGATTGGTTAAAAATTTGATCGGTAAGATAGCAAAATGAATTTTACTGCGCCGATAATCGGTGCAATAGACACTCCGATTTGTAAACAAACATGGCAAATGCCTCTTTTCACTTTGAATCTTAATTCGGACGGGAAAATTTTATTAGCTCAGCTTGACGCTTTTTAATTCAATATTTAACTGTGCTAAAGCACCTTAACTGTACAAAAACAGGCAGTTTGACTCGTATTCAAAAGTAAACAATGAAAATTTCCATCTGGTTTCGTTACTATTAAGGAATTGATTTAATGACTCATAGGAAGTTAAGAAAAAATATCAGTGTAGGTGTGATAAAAAAAGAAAAAAACGATGTTACGTCACAATAAGAATCTTTGGTTATTATCTCCTCGTGACAGGTTTACATATCTCTAAGCAACGTATTTGTTTACATTGTTGCCCCTTTAAAAAGAGAAGACCGGGCATATTCTTTCTGTTCAGTCTAAAGTTAAACATTTTACTCAACTTATTAAGTAATTTAGCCTGTTGAATAATGTACCCTGCACGTTTACCTGACGGAAGAATTAAACGTATGTATATATTTTAAAAAAATATCGAGACTTCATTTTAAATCATTATTAGTAGACTTCTATTTTAAAGATTAGAATTATTTCTTATCAATTAATGGTTGTAAGAAATAGTAGGGCGTAACCTGCTTAAATTGTTTAATGTAAGAAACTTCTATGAAGAAGTACCTGTTAATATGTTCTCCGTTTTTATGAAATTAGAATAAATTTTATTTTGCTAAATTTTTTTTATTTTTTACTTTAGGTCTTAGATTTGAAAAAAAACAAACTAAAAGAAATTTTTTTTAAAATTCAAAGCAGATTTTTTAAAATTTATTTTATTACATGTACCTATTAATGTTATAATTTAGAATATTCATAATGCTTAATATTATTTAAAAAAAAGCCATATTATATCCATAATGTAATTTCTAACTGAAATGGTTAAATTTATTATATAATTGTTACAAACTAATCACTGAAAAAAATTAAGTCATAGTTGTTTTTATTCAAACTCAACAGATTCATTAATTTGTAAAGATAAAGACTAAATTTATTGGTTAGAAATCAAACGAAGAATTTATTTAGGAAACACACACACACAATTATTCTTAATAATACCTAATCTGCAGATTAAGTCTTTCTTCATTATATGTATACCAGGGGTCTGTCCAGGCCGAATTTACTACCGTTTAGCGGTACCTTCACAAATTCAACTTTAGGGAAAACGGTAGTTTCACAAATTCAATTTTAGGAAAAACGGTAGCTTCACAAATACTTTTTCTTAAAATTTCATTTTTGTATCCCTTAAGAAACGATAAATCCATATTTTTGTGTTGATTTTTTAATATAATTTTTAATTTTTCACAAATTATGTCTAAATTTTCACAAAATAGGTACCTCTCAGAAAAACCTAGACAGACCCCTGTATACACAAATTACATTGTGTAATAAATGTTAAGAACATTTTTATTTATATAAGTATAAACTTAAATAGGTTTATAAAATAACAAATTATTTTAAGTGTAGCTAATGGAAAGTTATAATTTTAAAGATCCACAACAATTTAATCCACAATTAGTCTTTTTATTTTTCGTAATCTACTTTGAACCTAATAAAATTAATTAAAATGCACATTACTTTCTCTTTATTTCTCCATAATTGCCTCATCATATTCCCCATCATTATGCATAAATGTCACCTTGGAAAAAAATAAGAAATAATATTATGTAAAAAAAAAAAAAATCCAACTGCATGCCATAATTTTTTGCAAGTAATAACTTTTTAAAGTATACATGCATAATATAAAGTATACATGCATAACTGTATTGTTGGTTTCAAAAACTAAAACATACCATGTTTGGGAACCAATATAGGTGGTATAGAGCTTTAATCATAAAAATTTTAGATGTATTATCCATAATGAAAGTATCATCTGTGACTAATACGTGCATAACTAATTCCCTTACTCAAGTACAAATGAAAATAAAAATTTATGTACAGTGAAAATTCCTATATCTGGACATTCATACAGGAAAAATATATTTTTTACTCACTTTTTAAGATTGCAAACATTATTATTTTTTTTAAATCTCTTAAAAACAAGCATTATTTAAAAAAACAAATTTTTTTCCTTTTTGCTGTTTTTCTGTTAACTAAACATTTATTCTGTCAGCTTCTATTAACTCACTGTTAGTCATTGAAAAGAAAAGAGCAGTTAAAGAATTATTTTAGTACTTTACCATTTTGTGTTGTCAAATGTTTTGGAGATTTAAAAAAATCTAAATAAATGAAGGGAAAAAAAAATTTATTTGCACGAACAAATTGGAAAAGTATAAATTTCTGTGCATGTATTTTATCATTCATTTTACCTGTTCGAAAATGTTGTTGTATATTATAGACTTAGCCTCTGCTTCTTACTTTTTGTTAACTTATACATATTTTGATACCTTGAAGTCCTATTAGCTGAACATGCAGAGGTTGCACATTCCGGATTTGGGACTTTCCACAAGGCAATTTATTATGGCACATAAAAACAAATTTTGTTTCGCTAGTTTTCAATATCAGATTAAAATAATTTATTTTTGATTTAACAATTTTTTTAATATTTTTCTTTTCAATTTTTAAAATTTCTCCTTTTTTCGCAATTTTATTTGTTTAGATTTGTTAGAAATTGCCTTTTGCAGTAAATACTGAATTCACAAATGAAAATAGCTGATTATGAACATAAATGTGGCGACAATCAAAGTAAGCATAAATTTAGACAAAAAAAAAAAAAAAGTTGATCAATAAAAACAAAATAACTTCATAATTCAACATTTTTTCCAAAACTGAAAAAAAATTTCTTTTTTCCTTTAATATATTTTTCATTAAGGTAGTAGTGACACATCAGTCTCTGTATGGAGTAGATATGCAGAAGAAACACCAAGATGACAGAATAATTCTATTGTAGATCGCTGCGAAATTTCTTTAGCCACAGCTTGCATATTTTCAAAGAGAACTAAGTTTTATGTAATTACATTACTTTTCTTGTAAAATTTTAAAACAATTGCTTTCAAAAGATGACATTCTCCCAGATGGATTGCTACAAAAATAGCATTATGCTAAAAGACTAGCATGTTATCTAATCATTGCAACTATTGAGATAAAATTTCACTCAGAAGTTTTCTAACTGAAACTGTCCTAAGCCTTTTTATCTAATATCTAGCGGCAATTCCACGACTTATGAATGTCACGTTTGCAGACTTTAAATGGATATAACATTTTGAATTCCAGTCACTTTCATTTATATGAAATTTTAAAAAAATTAAAAAGTGATTGCTATAGAACAAAAGAGTTTTTCATTTTTAAAAAAGTTTTGAATGTGACTAAAAATTGAGTTTTGTGTTCACTTATCATAGTAAAAACTATTAGAACTTTGTATTTTTAAACTGAGTTTTACGCAAAAGTCTGTGAACATGACATTCATAAATGTTGTGCATCATATTTTTTATGTGTTGTTACACTATCATTATTTTTAGCTCCATTTGGTCCTCCTGATTGTCCATGGAAATCTGTAAGTCCTGGTAGCAGCATATCTGAAAATGCTGTAGAGTTTGGAAAGCTGAATGGAGATCAAGTCTACATTGGAAGAGTTTATGATAATGACTGTTGGCTGATTGGTACTGCTGTTCCTTCAAAAGGTGTCTGCCATTACTTGAGCAGAAATGCTGAACTCAAATCTACAGATTCCTATGACGTAAGTATATCTTTTACCTTAGGAACCTTGTCCCGCAGTGGACCAATCGCAAAGATACGGTTCCCGGTAGAATACCGAAGTCGAGCATCGCTGACCATCGTCAGTGATCGGGTGCGTGGCCAGTTTGATCGGCCTATGTAGGGACCGAGAATGCGCAGTATCGGTCCTCGTTAAACTGTTCTACTGTAAAGTGCTCGACTTTGCACGCAACTCGACGGCTAGCGAAGGAGCCATCCCCTCTGCAGAGGAGCAATGACATGTCTTCGGATCATCCTCAGGGATGTTTCCCAGACTGTCGCCAATAGCCCATTGTGCAGCTCTTGTGCGATGTAAATAAAATGCCTTCCTTAGGGACATTATCAAATATTATGTTAGCACCTAAATCATCTGCTTATTTTTGCTGACTAAAGAGGAGTATGAGTAATGCTTATGTAAGACATTAAAATTCCCTTATTTTTAAAATGTCATAAAAAGAATTACAATTGAAATAAAAAAATCTGAGTTAAATTCGAAGAAAAGAAAAAGAGTTCAAAAATTGATTAATAAATTCTAATATTAATTTCAAGTAATGATTTTTAAATTCTAAGCTTAATCAAAATTCTGTAATATGGTCTTACAGTTTTTATTAAACATGTTCAGTTTTAATGATATAGGCAGTGCTAACTGATTTGATTTAGTTTTAACATTTTATTAAAACTAAACATAAGTACCCAGTGTTTAAATAGCAAAATATTTTATGAATAAAGCATTGAATAATCTCAATTACTATAGCATCACTAACTTATGAGTTTTATTTTGTGAGCTCTATTTGTTATGTTTCATTTTTAAAAGTTGCTTATGGAGATTATAGCTACTACAGCTTTATTATTTTGTTTTTATATTAAAATATTTTGTTTATTAGGTTTTACTATCTTAATTGCTTAAACTTTTAAAATTAATTTTCAATTGCTTCACATCACAATAGTTTTAAACAAATTCAAATAAGACATATAATATTGTACTTAAACATTTTTTATTATTTTTGACCATTAAGGTATTTTTTTTTTATTGGCCCATAATGAAATCTTTTTTATAATTTTCATTTCCTTTTAATTCTAGCCCTGTATTTTAAATACATTTCCTGAAAAATATTCCTCCTAGAATTATCCTAGAAGTTTTTTTTTTTTTTTTTTTTCAAATTTTGAAAAACACAATTATTTATCATAAGATTATTTTTCATGTTTCTCTTATTAAATAAAAATCAATGATTGTTAAATTTTTATTTATTTATAAAATTCAAATAATAAGTTAATTTAAAATAAACTTATAGTTCATATTTAAAATAAAATTAAAATAGTGTTTAAAATTTAATAAGCAATTTCCTTAATGTGTGATACCAAAGTGTAATCCTAAAGCTGTGTAATAATTGTTATTAATGTAAATAGCTTTATTTTTAATATTTGGACAAATACTTCATTTTTCAGCCAAACCAAATATTTGGATTTTTAATCTAACACCCAATATTCATTGCAATCCTAATTTTTATAGCTAGAATAGGATGATGAGTTGTAAAAGCAAAAAAAATCGTATTTGTTAGAAAATAATTCAGCTTATTTAATTTAATCTCATGATTAGCCTATTAAAAAATAATAAAAATAAAAAATGAGCTTTTTTAAAAAGAAATCAAGGCAAAGATAAGTCATAAAAATATGGAAATGAAAGATATTAAATATTTTTCCTATAGCCTGTATTTGTTTTATTTGCAGTTAGCATGTGTGCAAAAGTGCAATATTATTATTATTATTATTTTTAAAATATCATATTTTGAAATTTAAAAGTTGTTGAAAATTGCTTATGTGAATGTTTTTTTAGATAATCAGGGTGGCTACCCACCTGGAAAACCTGAAATTATCAGGGCATTTTTTTATACTGGAAGAGTTAGGAAAATTTATTTAAATAAAATACTTTATATTATTGGTACTTTTCTTGTATCCATCCTACACTTTATGAGGGAAAAAAAACATGCTGAGATTTTATGATTTTTACCTTGAAAAATCAGGGAAGTATGAAACCTGATAATATAAGTGTGAACATCCTGATAATAAGAATCTTATTTATTGATTTGAATATCAATGTAATTTTTTACTGCTTAGTACATTCTTTAATTTCTTTTCCATATCTAGGTACTTACATGCGACTGTGGAAATCCTTTAGAATTTGAGTCACCAGATTTTGAAAGTAATCTATTATTCGTTGCTGGCGGGAATGAAGACCACTGTCTGTATGCAGCTCGGGTAGTTGATGGAGAAAATACGTACATAGGTTGGGTGGATAAAAAAATTCGTGTTGCCAACCTTCCAAGAGATCCATCTGTTGGACCCAATCAAGTTAAAGAAAACTTTGGGGTCTTAAATCACAAGCTCCTTGACCGTCTATGCGTTTGTCCAATGCCCCCACCTTATTCTTATTGACTGGTCCTTTCATTCAAAATCATGCAATGTTCTGTGTGTAGACATTGTTACATTTAAAAATCTATTTTTCTTGAAGTATTACTTAAGGCAAATTACTGCTTTTTATCTAGAGCTTTATTTTTTATAGAACTGTTTTATTTTGAGTTTTATTTGCAGTGGTTTTACTTATATTCTATACATTTATGTATTTTTGTATCTACCTGCTGAATTACTGAAATAAAGTATTGCTGTGCAGCTTATTTGCTCTCTGTAACTTTTTAAAAATAAAGTACATCCTGGAATGAAGATTATTTTTTTTTCTAAATGAATACCCTGAATAATGAAGAATAAATTCAAAATATTCATTCAGAGAAACAGCTTTTAAAAGTTCCAAAACTTGTATCATAATCTGATACAGAGCTGTACCAATTATTTGATGACTCTGAGTTGCTAAGTTTTTGTCATGTGTCTGCTTTTTGCAGTTTCAACTATCATTTTAATATGCAGTGCTTGGCAAAAAATATCAAATACTAATTTTCTCATGTTTAGTATATGTTGAAGAGAAAATATTCTTGGGGGAGGGCATTTCCTTTTATAAAAAAGAAAATTTCTTTTCTGTAAAGAAATAAAATTTCAGCTTTGAATTAAACTGGTAACATTCAAATTTCGTAAAAATGAATTAAATTATGCAGTTATTAAAATTTCTTTGTATACCGGTGCTTCAAAATGTGACCAAGGTGAAAAGTAAAGCTGACATGCAAAAATTATCTTGGACTCCTAATCACCACCCTGAGCTGCAAGGGGGGGGGGTTGCAAATCTTAAGGAATGATTGAGAAAGTGTGCAATTTTGTGCAAAGTTAAAGATGTGTTCTTTTTTATATATTTCTTAAACAAATAAAAAGAACATCAGAATTTTCGTCTTAGCATTCTTTATTATGTATTTCCTTAGGCATCTGGCAAAATATTAGAGCCTTTCCTGTAGTTCTAAATTTTGAATATATATGGTAATACTGAATAAATAAAATTAATTTTATTATCATAGTATTTTACATATAATTTTGAACCCCCTTTAGGTTTTCTGTATAGTATTTGCAACCCCATTTACTTATGACTTTCGATTCTTTTTGTGTGCTAGTTTTGCCCTTTAATTTTGGAACTTTTAATTTAATCGAAGTATTTTATTTACATAAGTCAAGCCAACCAGAATTGTTTAGAACTAGGGCTGTACAGGGTACAAGTATCTAAAATAAAAATTTCTCTACCAGGTACCCGAATCTGGTTTTCAGTTTCAAGAACTGGTAATAAGCGCTCAGTCAACTTTACTGGGTAATACTGTATGCATGGCACAACCGTATTCAGGTTTAGAGTAATTATAAAACTATTCATTAAATAGTAGTTGTTTTGAAAATTCTTGCCTTATGTCAATTTTTTAACAATCAATTAGAAATAAGTAGTTTAATTATGACATATTTCGTCAGAATTTAAATTCAGTGAAACCTTGACAAAATGGCCACTTTTAGTACAAAGAAATCCTTTAGTACAAAGAAACTTAAGAAAGGTGTCCGCTTAAAAAATACGATGAATATGTATTACTCTCATACCAAATGTTAACAAAAAGAGATAAATTTTTTAAAAGTAGATTTTATTTATTTATTTTTTTTAAAAAAAAACTTTTTATATTTACAAAATTCGACAAAAAATTCATTGGGAAACATTTTCAAATAAGTTGATTTATGTTTATATTGAAAAGAAACATGTATGGACAAAATTGGCCTTCAGAACTTTTAAACTAAATTTTTACTAGTAAGCGAACCGTACTTACCCGTTACGTCAATAATCATAGTTTCCAACCAATCTAGTTTAAGTTGTCTTACCGTCGAGTTAAACATGGGAAGTTTCTTTTTTTTTTTCTCTCCGTATAACACAAATCCGCATTAGTTTCACTATAAGTTTTCCCTGAAAGTAAATTTGCTCCCTGTTTGTAGCTTGATCTAGAATTACTTTATATATTAGGGGCTCTTAATGACATGGATATTGAGTTGTAACCTTAAAGGCACCAAATCCATTAAATGAATCTTCTATTCAACATTGGTAACAAGATAAAATTTCTCAATGAGTATAGAAACGCTTAAGAAATTATACTAAGGTAGATCTCATTGCACGTGAAGTGCATTTCGTTGTTATAGGAAGATTAAGAATTGACTATAATAGTTAAGATATTTTTCATTTATTTGTTAAAATATTCTACGTTTAACAGAAGCTATTTAAGAAACGCTATGGAAAATTTAAGCAAATCAAATGTCCACTATTAGCAGATCAAAATTAAGTGTACTATTAGTAGATGTTTGCAGTTTAAAATAAAATAATAAGTTTGTTATTTTGCATTCAAACAGTCATCAGAAAATTCTTTTAGAAACTTATTTTGGTAAATTAGAAATTTTTTTTTTTATTTATATAGACGAGCGCAGAAAAAAATCTAAATAATTTTTCTCATAGTTTTGTAGGGAATCGTATTGGGCAACTAATGATAAAAGCTTTATTTGAATGTCTTAAAAAGCTTCAACTAATTTTTTAAGTAGTTTTTGTTCATCTTGTACTATTAAAAAAGATTTATTATAAATGAGACCGGCATTGCAGGGATCACCCCCCTTCATAAAAGTATGTTTTCTTTCTGAATACCATCAAAGTTTAGTTTCCGGACGATTATTGTAAGGTATTGTCATTAAATTTTGTCTTATGATACAAAATAACATTTGTGCATAACCCCTGATCGTTTTGAGCTTTCTTTTGAAAAGTACAAAAACTACTTAGAAAATGGCTTGAAACTTTTTAAATTTTGAAGATAGTCGAATAAATTTTTTTATTAGTTGCCAAATACGATTCACTACAAAATTATGAAAAACTTTTTAAAAAATTTCAGTGAATGCGCAGTATAAAAGTACTAGCTTTAATACTCATGTCTTGCGCAGTTTTAATTTATTGCTTTTTTTTTCAAACTTTTAAATCGACAATTTTGTAATTAATTTTAAATTGCATCAAAAATTTTGTTTAACTCCATTGAATATCTATTAAATTATAATGAAAAGACGTAAGGCATAAAAAAATAAAAATTAAATTTTTATAAAAATGTCCATTTCTTCATCAATATTTAATCTAGGTTTACGAAGCTTTATGCAGTTAATAAAAATAACAACTAAAGTAATCGATACAAGTTAAAAACTTATTGCTTGGTCTTCTAGCAGAGGGTGTTTAAAAATGCATGTTTTCTTTCGTTATTTATTATAAGTCTCTTAAACCTCTGAAAATCGCATGAACTAAACATCTCTTAAGTTACAAAATAATTTATAAGTATTTCTTGAGAAATTTAAAAAATATGTCAAAAACTACTGAAAGTGTCTCTTCCATTATTGTAGGGTAGTGTAGAATCATTGAACATTCTTCAAACTTTGACAAGGATTGGTAATCAATTTAAACCGAGGTTTACCTTTCATTCTTACTTATTTTCTTTTTTAAAATAAACACAAATAACAATTATCCCTTCAAATAGTTTGAAAAACAATCAATTAGGCATTTATGATTTTATTATTATTTAAAAAAAAAGGATCTGGGTTTTGGGTTTAGCAGAACTAAGCTAATTGTAGTATTTAAATATGAAATTAGAGGTGCATGTGTTATACACATTTTTCTTTTTAATGGATTTAATCATGCTTTGATACGATACTAAATTAGAATTTATTCCTTATGAACTTGAAAAATAAAGGTGGTTGTGTTATTTATTTTTAAAAAAGTATTTAATCAAGATTTGAAAATATGTAAAAATGGGATTTATTTCTTCTCAATTTCTCAGCAAGTTATCATAACAGCATGTTTAGACTTTAAATCAGTATTAAGTTAAGCTTAAATTAGTTAAAAGCATTAATTAGTTAATTAAATTAGTTATTAGTTAAAAGCATTAAAAATATTGGCACATCAAAAAAGAAAAATACTATACCATGATTAATTATTGAGTTATTAAAAAACATAACATGTGAAAAAAGGAACAGTTAACATTAACATGATTAATTATTAAATGACTAATATAAAAAAAAAATTCTTAAAATGTCAAAAAAAGAAACTTATCTACAGTAACATGATTAAATTTTATTAAAACTTGGAATACAAAAGCCTAATAAAAGTGCAACAAATATATATTAAAACATATCTACATCAAATAAAATAAAAAATGACATCAATATACACATAAAAGAAATATAGTTTAAAATAAATAAATTTCAATTATCACCCTGAGAAAAATTTGTATATTAACAAATTTCCAACAGAAGGAGACCAAAATAAACTAATTTAGTTTTACAAAGTTTTTACACATTTATTCTTAAAGAAAGTTGGCACGAATCCCTAAACAAATTGATCGTGCTCACTAAAAGGAAGACTCATGTCACACATTGTAGTGATGAAAGACAAAACCCACTCGGAGATCAATATTTTTAGAATCTGCTTCTTCTTCAGTTGGAGAGATATTTTTCATTTAATAATTTTTTTTTTTTTTTTTTTTTACCTTCAAAATCATACGGGAAAAAATCAGTATGAAATGTGAAATCTTTGCTTTTTTTTAACTATATGGAAAAAAATTTGTCCTTTAATCATGAAATTTTTTTTGTCCTTTATGCGAAAAAGTTTATGGCCTTTTAATTATGAGAAATTTTTTCTAATTAAATCATAATTTAGAGGGGAAAATATGGATAGATTTTTTAAAAAAAATTCATTAAAAAACCTAGTAAAATTCCCTAATAAAACCCTTTAGATTTTACCTCAGACTTATTAAATATTAATAATAGTTGAATAATATGTAGTTACACACAGATTTTTATAGAATGAACTTTCATTGGACTTAACACAGTATAATAACAGGGTTGGTGAAAGACAGGCTAAAGCTCCTTGATAAGGAGGCAGAATTGGCAATTACATAAAAAAAATTTTATGAAATTATACAATGTCATGAAAGATATCAGCAGATTTGCTCTATAAGGACAAGATATATGTAGGGGAATATCCCGTTGCTATCCCACCAGTACTATCAATGCGTAGCAAAATAAATATTTAAGATAAATAACTATAACATAATTGACATTTCATAAAAAATGATTTAATGAATACATATTATTTAAAATATATACATAATATTATTATTTAAAGTGATAAAAAAAATTAAAATGAGATTTTTAAAAGTTAAGTACAAAATCATTTAAACAAAAGAAAAGGTAGGAAACTAACAGATTGAAAACCTAAAATTGTAACTTAGCTTTGG